AGAGAGAGAGAGGGAGGGAGAGAGAGAGAGAGAGAGAGAGAGAGAGAGAGAGAGAGAGAGAAAGCAGTCCTGAAATAAGGAAAGAATAAGCTTGTTCTTGTTGCTCCTATTCTGTCCTGGCCATATGGCTTATGATTTCCATTCCTCATTTCTTAATTTTTTATAAAGGTAGACTCTTTTTTGAGTCAAGCTTAGCTTAAGCAGGATGTCTTTGCAGGCTCCCCATTCTGCCCTACAGACTTGTATTCTCTGGGAATCATCTATCCAAATACTACCAGGCCTAACCCTGTTTAGCTTCTGAGCCCAGAAGTCAGCCAGTGTAGAAATAACCTTGAAGAAGGAATGCAAGAATGGTGAAGGCAAAATAAGAGACAGTTCAGTCCTGGGAAAGGAGAAGGTGTGAGAAAGAAATTCACAATAACCTTGCCTTGATTCTGTTTGGTATAAGAGGGGGAAGGCTTTCCAGTTGTTACACCCTATAACAATAAAGTTGCATTCCTGTAATCCTTATATTGTCTGTTTCCTGACCTGGCCTACTTTAAAAGGCTGACAGAGAGATCTTAATCAGACTTTTTGTTGTTGTTGTTATTTGAACATTGTTCAAAATGCACATTTATGTTATCTCTTTAATCCTTCAGTCTTTCCTATCATAAGGAAAATGTACTGTGATCCTCATTTTGCAAATGGTGGTGTGAAATAAGGCTGAATGAAGCCTGAGAGAACAGCTTACCTAAAGCTTCCATTCCTGATCCAGGCTTATTCCTTTAGCCCCTAGACTACCTCTTGGGAGACAGTCAAGACTCAGCTTTTCCTACCTATAAGATAAAAGCTTTCAAATCACGCATGACATATGTTCTCCAAATGGCTTTTTTTAGTAGGTGTTATTGGCTTAGGGTAGATCTTGAAGTTGCTTCTTTCTGCCTTGCAGAATCATGGCGTGTTTTCTCTCCCTCACCGGCCCCAGGCCAGTTGTGCTCTTTGAAAACTCTCTGCTTATTCTTGCGATGAGGGGGCAACATATTTGAGGTCAACTCTGAAGATGTCCATTATTTGAGACTGAAGGGTAGAAGAAACTGAGAACATATTGTCCCACCAGATTTATTTATTAGATTTTCACCTTGCTTTTTATTGAAGAGCTCAAGGCAGTGTGCATGTCAGGACTTCCTTCTGTGAGATAAGTTGGGCTGAGAGAGTGGGACTGAGAGGCCCCAAGTCCCCCAGGAGCTTCTGTGGCTGAGAGGGGACTAGAACCTGGATCTCCCTGGTGCTACTCCAGTTCCTGAGCCGCTACACCACAATGGCTTCCAAAGATGTTGAACTGAGCTTTACTACAGGGAATCATCCATGCAGTTTTCTTCACAACAGTTTGGAAGTGATCTCACTATTTGTTTTATTATTTATTTGTTTGTCAGATACATAGCTTGCCTTTTGTTCAGGAGCTCAATGGGTGTACAAAGTATTCCCTCCTATTTTTCCCATTACAAGAACCTCTATCAGGAAGGTTGGGCTGAGAGACAGAGAGAGAAAAACTGGACCAACATTACCTGAGGATCTTTCCTGGCTGAGGATGAACTATAAGGTGGGCCTCTCTGCTCCTATTCGCACACTTTCATAACTCCATTGTGCTGGCTTTCCACTCTGGATTTATTTATTTAGAACATTTATACGGCCCCCCCAACTCAAACAATGTGACTCTGGGCAGGGTACAAAAAAAAATACAAAAGAAAAGTAAAAACAGACCATGAAAACAAGCTAAATTAAATGATAATCAGAATTAAAATATACCACATATTTCACTCATCCTGACCGAGGTGTCCAGGGAATGAGACAGGTCTTAACTGCCTTTCTAAAGGCCTAGAGGATCTCAGTGTGATTCTATTTTCTCCCATCCCACTGTTCATTAACATCTTCTGACCACATAGTAGAATAATAGCAGGTCAACATATGTCCTGGTTTGGACATCTAGATACTTTCCAACAGTTATATTACATTGGACTGTCCTTTGTGTGAACTTAGCCCACTCTTTATTCATCCAGTTTTGCTGGGATGTTATGTCAACTCACATGTGTTTATCTGTCTGTAACTAATACTGAAAATGTATTACCCAGAAGTAAAGGTGGTAAAAGTGAGACTGAAAAGCCATGTTCAAGCAGCATTGCAACTCATGTAGTAAAGGGGCAGGGCCTGAATCCCAGTGTATTTGCATCATTCTGAAACACACACACAATGCCTTGCCTCCTCCCATGGGTGCTGCTGCTATTTCATATGCTTTCTCAGTAACCCTGCAATGAATGTAGAATGTAAATGAATACAAATATTTCTGGAAAAATCAGAGGTTGAATTGGGGAGAGAGTCTTACTTGAAGCTACCACATGAAGTTATAGCCCAAACGTAGACATACTTTAGCCATCATGTTCCAATAATATTTAAGTCCTGGGCTTCTCATCTTATTCTGCAGAGCAGTCAAGCTGCATTTTGTCCTTCAAGCAGAAGTAGCTATTTCTAAGGAAACAAATACTACAGAGATTCTTGCACAACTGCATGCCTTCATTTGAGGTGCTGTCTTCTGACAGGGGTCTTCTGCCACTGAACAAGAAATTTTGGATACGGGAATTATCTTATTCTTATACACGTTTCAGATGCAGGAAAGGACGCATTGCATAATTCCAGGTAG